TCAATGAAAAACTTTATTTACAATGTACACTACATGTTTACCTTCTGCAAGTGGAGAAGAGCATGTTAATGTTCAATGAAAAACTTTATTTACAATGTACACTACATGTTTACCTTCTGCAAGTGGAGAAGAGCATGTTAATGTTCAATGAAAAACTTTATTTACAATGTACACTACATATTTACCTTCTGCAAGTGGAGAAGAGCATGTTAATGTTCAATGAAAAACTTTATTTACAATTTACACTGCATGTTGTTTCCCTTTATGAGTGCAAAGTAATTTTCATGATGAGACTAAAAATAGTTTTCTTCATCTGAACATTTTCAAATATCATTTGCATAACCCCTAAAACCTAAATATATATCAAAGGTTTTTTTTTCTGAAAAACTATATTTTAATAGTTATTTTCTTTACCCTTACTCTTTATGAGGTCGGTTGATTTGATCGACCTTGTAACCACAATAAAAATATTAGGAAATAATTCTAAATTTCCCCTATTTTCTATCTGGAATGACTGCAAATTGTAACAAAAAACCATAATTGTTTATCCTAAGTAACTTAAAGATTGTTACAGTATACATCTATTTATACTTGCATTTTATTGTTTTATTGCCCTTTGAACTGTGTCTAACTGCTATTCGCACCATATAAATTGCAAATTATGTGGCAAATGTGAAGCTCCCATTATGGTATCAAATTACATAATGCACGAACTACTTGCAAGCATAACTCATAAAAAATTATTATTATTAATATTATTTATTTTACTTATTTATCTAACTTAAAAGTTTTAAATTTTTACATTTTAGTTACATTTATAATAATAAGTAAAGAAAACACATGAAAAACAAGAAATAAAGTACCTACCTGTTTTTTTTTTGTTCTCAACTATCGAAGAAACGTAACTACTTTTTTTATACTAGTTGTACTACTGCATTAAATAATTTCTATTTAATTAGATAAAGCACCAAAGAACACAGAGTAATAACATGCAAAAACATGAAAAAAGGAAACAATGTTCCATAACTATCACAATTTTTCTGGCTTTCTAACTGTGCAACAAAACCCATTAAAAATTCAGCTAAGCTCTTCATTGTGTTTCCTGTGGGAATAAAGTTTGAACTGGAAGGAAAATAGACAATTCTCTGTACAGACACCAATGCAATATAATACATCATTTGATAGAGAAAAACTTTGGCTTTCTGTTGGTTATAGATAATGTAGTCTTAGATGTCAGAGAGAGCTATTGGCAAGTTCTAAAAGAGAGGATGTGACAGGTTGGCATAGCAAGAGAGGTCTGATTTTCTATGTATTGATCTGTAACTAAATAAGATTGAAGGCTATGCTTTGCCTGAGCAATGAAAACATTATAATGAGTAATATACATTAAATTTCATACTTCTCAGAGGGGTGGTAAAAAAAAATTAAAGGAGAGGGAAGAAATACATAACAAACATCAGTTCTCATACTAGGAGAGATTGAGATTTTTTTATTTATATTTCCTTATAAAATTAAGAACATAAAACTTAAATAATACTAAACTTTGATTTATTATCTACATTCTGATGCAGGGTTTATTCATATACATTGAGAATAAAATAGTTTAATTAAATTTTGAATGTAACTGCACATTTTGAATTACTAGAGATGAAAGAGTCAATCATGTGGTACTTTCACGTGGCTTTATTTTCGTGCAATTTATTGTCATTGATGAAACCTGTTAGAAGTTGATTGTGGACAGCTGTGTGCAAACTGTATGCTGTTTAATTTGTAATGGTACAAAGTTCAAAGCAAAGTACTTTTGCTTGTCTTGCGTATGGGACGTTTTGCAATGCGTATTTGGTACCCGAGGGGTCAAACCTCATCAGTCCCAACGATTTCTTGTTTATATGGGACCTGGGAGTTCAGGTTAACTAAAACCCTGAATGTAATAACTTGCTGAATGTTGTGTACCAAGTGTTTGGATAATTTACTTCCTTTCTATTGTAAGCAATACACTAACGTAGGTACATATGCTTGCTGTACACAGTGAATAAGTCTTCATTTATGTCTGAAAAATCCTGCTAAAAACTTGTTTTGCTTGTTCATATTTTTGTGCATGATGCAACCATTCCTATCATATAATTCTTATAGGACAGGGATTAATGTTACTACCATAACACAGTAGCAGTTATTTTCCATTAAAACAAACTCAACTTTTTGTGCACAAAAGTCCATGCATTTGTTTCATCTCAGTATTGGAGACATTTCTTCTCAGCAGCCATATCAACATATTTCAACTGAAAGACATGAATAATTTTTTAACCCATCGATTGGAATTCTCAACTTTCACCCAAGAAAACTTGTCACTCAGTAAATGGAGCAATCATCAATTGCAATTGGTTGACCTCTCATGTACTGCACATTGCATTTTGAATAGGGATGTTACTAATGTGGAGATGTCTTCCATGGTGTGCACATGTTTAGGGGATTTCCACACACTATTATAGGTACCTTGGAAGGCAGGCTGTGAACTGAGTCTTGAAGTACAGCATATGCAGCCAGAGGTAAAGTGTTTCTGGAAGTTTCTGTGCCAGTCTGGACCATTGTGTAATGTGCATGCCTCAGAAATAAAAAACATTTTGTGTATATATATAGTTGAAAGTTGAACTGAGCCAGTAGAGCCATTCAATACAAACATGAAAATAACACAGGAATTATCACTTCATTGATAATATTCCTGCATTCCATTGCATCTCCCTGGTTTAATGCTGAAATGCTTGAGCAAGGCAATATGTACAGTTTTGAAGTCTGAGATAATTGTCTGAAGGACAACCTCAGTCACTAAATTTTACAGCATTTGGTTGTATGACAGATTTTCTTGCCATCTCAGATGATTGGGTGACCATTAAATTCATTTATTGAATACACCAAATAGCTTCTAATTTTCAAACGTTTTTATGGGGAGCATACTTCTGGATCATCTAGCAATTCACTCAAACTATTACAGACCTATTTTTCTTTCCATATCCTCACCTCTTTAAATAAAACATGACTAATTATAATTTTCTAAATGTTTATTGTCATCAGTGTTCTTTGTAGTAACACAGTCTTCACACACACACACACACACACACACACACACACACACACACACACACACACACACACTCAATAATCTATATATTGCTAAAACTCTGAGATTGTTTGTTTGTTTGTGTGCTTGTCTGTAATAAAATACAGCAAAAACGGTGCACAATAACATCATATTTGTAATGAAATGAGAATAGGAACAGAATAAAACAAGTTTCGTTAAAATCGGGCCATGGGTTACCGAATTAATGCGTTTTTTGGGACTCTTTTATGAAAATTTCTAGCATGAGTAATTATATGTCACATTACCATTCGTGCTCCTTACGAAACTTCATTGGGCCACGGGTTACCGTCATTTTTTGGTCACTTTTATGAAAATTTCTAGCACGAGTAATTTTATATCACACTACCGTTGGCGCTCTTTACGAAACTTCTTCGTTCAAATCTATTTCCCTGTCAATGTTCCCATCTTCATTAAAAGGCGTAAGATAACAAAAACAACATCTTGAAAAATTTCTCAATAATGTGCCTTGGTTATGGTAGGTAATTAGAAGAAAAATAAAGTGTTATTGTTTCTTATTTGTAGAAGGTTTAAGAGGAAAGACCACAACATAATGAACTAATTCATCACAATACCTGAAAACTCAGACTTCACTTTTTGGAAAAATTAAATGGTCTTTACTTTTACTCCCAATCAACAATCAAATATTTTTTCTTGAATTATGTATAACATGAATGGATTGAAATATTCATTTAAATTATCTCAAATAAACCTTCGTTTCGGTACAATATTTAAATTAGCTTGAATTCTTCTTAACCTCTGAATAGTGGGTGACCCAACGGGTCATGGGTGGTCTAGTAACTGCTAAAATCAGGGAGCAAACAATTTTGCAATACTATTCTGATTAGCATTACACCAAGAATTAATAAACAAACATTAAATGGTAATATACAAAATTATTAGGTGATATTTCATGTTGTATATCTCATCAGAATGATTAAAGTAAAATCAAAAATTGTTTCTGGTTTTATAATTTACTCTTTTTTTAGGGTTTCTTTGACATACCTGTAGATAACTTGTATGCTGAACCAGCTGTTTTGAAGTGGATCAGGGAAAACATTCAAGACTGGAGAGATAGTATTATCGTCTCACCTGATGCAGGTGGAGCCAAAAGGTAAACTGATGATTGTTAAGAGCATCAATGTTTCATTTGATACAACAGAAACGAAAAAAATGCTGAAAGCAGAATCAGTATAAGGATAATGTCATTGTCTTGTCTGACTTAGTAAAGAAAACACATTGAGTTATGCAAAGAATCAATAAAATAATAGTATCATTATTTTAACTAAAGAAAATTCAAGTTTCAGACAAAATCAGAGTGAAAATAATGTTGGTACTCCTCTTGATTTAAAAGGTGGGTGGGGATAAGGATGACTGTTTTTTAACTACTCTTTACTGGATTTGAGAGGTGTCACTGATATTCCCTGATTTGTTTTGTTCTCAAGTGGAAATACTTAACCAAATTGTATGAAAATTAGTACCCACTTACTAAATAGCATCTTGTTTCTGCTTGAAAATCTTCATATAATTTGATGTAGTGTTTCTATTATTTTAAAAGGTGTTCAATGTAAAGTCAAAGGTAGAAAATTAAGTTACAGATAAATTCTGTGTGAAATTGCCACCGTTATCTCATTTGTCTTGGTAATTTATTATTCATGTAAGTTGTATGATTCTTTTTATTCAGGCAATTATCACTACTGATCACGAAGATCTAGAATTTACTTTATTTATCCAATTAATTTTCACTAGAATTTTTTTTTTCTAAATAGGGTTAAAACTAATATAACCCTTTCATTAATGCATTTTTTGTGTATAAGGTAACAGTCATAACTGATCGTATAGTTTGATTTATATCCAGAATAACAGTCACTATTTACAGTAGGTATGTAGGGTTTAAAGTCTTTATCCATAGCTAGTTATAGCTACCACTTGTAATGAAAATATTTCATCTGTTTCCTTCTAATTGTTTTATTGATCATTTCATGAGCAATTAGGTGTAGTAGT